AGTTTAATATACCTAGTGTTCCATTATTGGAATGTTAAGCATGTGGGAGTTACTTATATCCAACTGCTCAAGGTCATTGCCAAGGTCTGATTATTCACTCATACAAAAATTCAAAAAAATGTATCCTCCAGCATAAATGGGTTAAGAAAAGTAGATTGCCCTTCATAATGTGAGTGGCCTCATCCAATCAGTTAAAGACCCAAAGAGAACAAAAGGCTGACCTCCGCTACACAAGATGGGATTCTGCATGCAGACAGCCTTTGGACTCAAACTGCAACTCTTTCCTTAGTCTCCAGTCTATAGGCCTCCCCCATTAGATTTTGCACTTGCCAAGACCCCACAATTGCATGAGCCAGTTCCTTAAAACAAATCACATATATATATATATGTGATTATATAATTTATATATTATATATTAATTATATAATATAGATTATATATGTAATTATATACATATAATCTCCATCCAATGTTCCTGTTCCTCCAAATACAAATTTCTTGACCTAGAGAGACTTAGTCCATGGAATCTAATTTGGATCTAAAGAAGAATTAAGGCCTAAACCAACCAAGAGCCCCATGCTGATGCCCTGACACTCACCCGTAAGATAATTAAGGAGTCAATCACCAATAGGCAGCCACTGGTAGCCTAACAACCTTGGTGACCACGTTCAAAGAGAGATCTAAATTTTTTTTAAGGAGAAGGAAAGATCAGAATCAACCCTTGGTAACAGGAAAGGAGTGTTAAACAACAGAGAGCTCCTTGCAGTATTGAAGTAAACATTTATAAAGACCTTCCCCAAATACTGCAATGTGAAGAACAGCAAGCTTGAGCTTTGTCACAAACCACCCATCAGCTCGGAATTGTGAAATACGCCCTCGCCCAAGTGCCTCTGACAGAAAAGAAATGAGTTCCATTACCAAATGAAAGCGGGGTGGAAATAACAGAATTGCTTTTATTTTGATGGATGATCTAATAAAAAGACATAAAAATGATTAGAAACGATAAAATTAAATCACAAAATACAGTTCTATTTGTTTTGTGCTATGGAGTGGATTCTTACATTGGGTGGAAGGTTGGACTATATAACTTCTAATTTTAGGAAACAGTAAAAAGAAAAAAAAAAACATGATGACAACAGTCTTTCATTGCTAGCAAGCTACTTCTAAGACACTGGAAACAGCCATTGCAACAATCACAAAAAGTCACAGGAACCCAAGTAGGCACAAAAAAAAAAAAAAAAAAAACAGATTTTCCATTCCCTCTGTTCCTGCCTTAGGGAGTTCAAGTGCCCCCAGACATTTCTCTCCAACTTAACAGTGTGCACCAAGGTGGTGTGTCTTAGAATGAAATGGACATGGTCATTCCAACCTAATCATTTGCTTAGAGTCACTGAGGGGTAATATTAATGGCTCAGATAAGATTATTGCCACAGTTTCCTTAAATTGACTGAAGGGCAATACAGAATCAATGACAGCAGAGGCTCTACCAGAAACACCTGAGATGGAGCCGGGAGGCAATACGGAAGGAGGAGGTGTTAGCTCAAAGGCACTGGAAGCTCTTCAAAGAAGCTGCTACCCCCTAATGGAGATGTGCTGCCTCTGAAAGGATCTGCTAAAACTAATTTGGATTCTTCACCACAGTGTTTGAGTCACTTTTTTTCACATTTGACAAGGCTGGCCAAGTTGCCTGCCAGGTGCTACACACCTACCTCTATTGCCTTTTCAATGAGTCCATTTGAAGCTTCCAGGCAGAGCCTCCTAGCTGGAGCTTGCCTGCAGAGAAGCCCACAACACACATACATTAAAATAACATGACGACCGCCTTACAGAATAAAGGTTTCTCCAGAAGAGCCACCCGTAATAAAAGAAAGCTCGCAATGAACCTCACCACTTTATCAATCAAAAATTCTGGGTCCTCTTACAGGACACTTCTCTTGTGCCAATATTAACTTTCTCAGAGCGAATCAGACCTCAAAATCATTCACTGGGAAGCATGAGGAGGCCTGGGGGGAGATCTGTGTGCCTCCTCCTCCCCTGCAGGCTCACCCGGAAGGCAGGAAGGCCTGCCCCTCCTCCACCCCCGGCCAGTGGCTTTTCTCAGTCTCTCCCCCGTCCTCTCTTCTGGCACCTCCTTATCACATATGTTCTCCTTGGCCTCCTCTTGTTTTCTCCAGTCATTTTACCCCTCCCTAGCCATGACTGTCATAGAAGAGCACTGAGTGTCTTTCACATTTTTTCCCCACAAAGTATGTTGATACATGAGGTTTCTCTTCAGGAAAAAGAGCAGACTGGTCCAAACTGGCAGAGACAGGAGGCCATGGGATGTAAATGACGGGCTTGGCCTCCTGGAAGGAGCCTCCTGGCTCTGCACCTCCTGGCCTCACTCTAGTGGCTCGCTTCACTCCCACAAGCCGGGAGAGTCTGGGCTTAGGTTTCCATTTGTGTTCTTCTTCAAAGATCTAGCAGAAATGATCACTTTCACTATGCTTTTGGGTTCCTGACCACATTCTGCCTCCTCCAAGGAATATACTACAGGAAAATGCTGTATATCTGTTTATTTATGTATTTATTTTTATTAAATATATTTATATATTTTATTTATTTATTCATTTATTTACATTTTTTTGAGACAGACTTCCGCTCTTGTTGCCCAGGCTGGAGTGCAATGGCACAATCTTGGCTCACTGCATCCTCCGCCTTCTGGGTTCAAGCAATTCTCCTGCCTCAGCCTCCTGAGTAGCTGGGATTACAGGCACCCACCACCACGCCCGGCTAATTTTTTGTATTTTTAGTAGAGACAGGGTTTCACCATGTTGGCCAGGCTGGTCTCAAACTACTGACCTCAGGTCATCCACCACCTTCAGCCTCCCAAAGTGCTGGGATTACAGGCGTGAGCCACTGCACCTGGCCAGAAAATGCTATATTTAAGCAGCTGCAATATTATAGCTAACAGGAAAGTCGCAGATTTTCCAAGATGACAAGAACAGTACTTGAAAGCTTCTGCCAATATTCCTTCTGTCAGTCCCCCTCCTCTCACTTGTCAAAGTCCACTAGTACCCAATGTGCTGACATTCCCACAAGAAGGCATCACCAAAGAAAACCTACCTGTGCTACCCTCAAAATCTCAAACAAACCATGCTCTTTCGGGGTTTGGGAATCCACTGTCACTGAACATTAACTCCAACAGAAATGTGTGTGTAACTAGAGAGGAAAATAAAGAAAAGGTGCTGGAGATGGATGTAGCGAGTGGTGAGGGGAATAGACATCCCCTACTGGAACAGGCCCCCTTGTAAGGTATGAAGTCTTCCTTGTTAGAGATCTTCAGGTGGACCCTGGAGTCCACTTGCAAAATATTTTAAGGAAGCTCTAGGCCAGGTGCAGTGGCTCACGCCTGTAAACCCAACACTTTGGGAGGCTGAGGCATGCAGATCGCTTGAGGTCAGGAGTTTGAGACCAGCCTGGTCAACATGGTGAAATCCTGTCTCCGCTAAAAATATAAAAATTAGCTGGACATAGAGGCATATGCCTGTAATCCCAGCTACTTGGGAGGCTGAGGCAGGAGAACCGCTTAAACCCAGAAGGTGAGGTTGCAGTGAGCCAAGATCGCGCCATTGCACTCCAGTCTGGGTGTCACAGCAAGACTCTGTCTCAAAAAAAAGGTATGTTTTAAAGGAGTTCTATACCGATGAAGGTTGACCTCAACGTCTGCTGTGGTCCTTTGTTCTTCTGACTCCCAAACTGCTGCCTGGAAACAGAAAACAGGCGGCAGAGGAGGAAGCTATACTTGGGCCTTGCCCCATGCCCTGGCCACATCTGCTGAAGAAAAAGCAGAACAGGGCTCAGGGCTCCCATAGTGTTTCTGATGCCGGCTCCTCAAAGAGCAAAGGTAATGGGTCATCTCATCCATGCCTCTTCTCGGTTTCTTCTCTTACTTTCCTCTGACATCTGTAACTCTATTATCATAGCCAGGGAAAAGCAAAGCCTAAGGAGGAAATTACCACATTGGCACGCAACAGTCCCCCAAACGGGTAACCGAATGACTGTGTTTACCTTTTCTTTCTTCCATTTCTCTTGATTGTGCTACTGGCTATAATGACCGCTACTTCTCACAAAATCTCTACTTTATACCAAAGCAAGAGGATCTATCACTACACAAATTTATTACAATTACTTTGAAAATCACATGGAGATTTAAATATCTATATGTTGCATACTGGCATATAATTGAAGCCGTCCATTTGGGGGATTCTTTAGCACATGCGCTTGTTTTCTTCCTTTCCACTCTTGCTAATGTTCACAGTGCACTTTCCCCATCCCAGTGATTTTAATTCCATTCATATTCAGATGAGTCCCAAACTGAAATCTTCAGTCCTGAAGTCTCTAAATACTCATGTCCTATGTCCAACCAGCATTTCAGTTTTTAAACTACTCCCTTAAGTTTATGAGCAAGGGATTTAATTGGGTTGAAAGGGGGCAACAAGGAATTAGAAAAATAGACAGAATCTTGTAATGGTTAAATTTTATCTATTGGACTGGGCACAGTGGCTCACGCCTGTAATCCCAGCACTGTGGGAGGCCAAGACGGGGGGATGGCTTGAGGCCAGGAGTTCCAGACCAGCCAGGCCAACATGGCGAAACCCTGTCTCTACTAAAAATACAAAAATTAGCAGGGCATGGTGGTGCGTGCCTGTGGTCCCAGATACTCGGGAGGCTGAGACAGGAGAATTGCTTGAAACCAGGAGCCAGAGGTTGCAGTAAGCCAAAATCACACCACTGCACTCCAGCCTGGGCAACAGAGTGAGACCCCATCTCAAAATCAAAAAAAAGGAATGTATATATCAACTTGGCTTGAGATTAGATAGATAGATAGATAGATAGATAGATAGATAGATAGATAGATAGATAGAGCGAGTAAGGATGAAACGGGTAAGAACACATACATACTTATGTATTTATTCAGGTAAATATGTGTATTTGCAAGCTGCCAGGCAGCCCCTTACCTCTGACAGCTTCGTGGTGCATTTTCCTTTTCCTGAACATTCCAAGTCATTTGCGTGGCTCTCCCCCGGCACGCAGGTGCTGACCTTCACCACCAGAGTTAAGCGCAAAGCCACAATAGACTTAGTCACAGAATCATTCACAAAACCTAAAAGAAAATGAGGCAAAAGGAAATTGTCAAGTGTCTCCTCTTTAAAGGCAGTGTGTTGAAAGCTTTACCAACAGCTTTTCTACCAGATTATGAATTTAGTGTAGGCAGCACTCAAGTCTGACAAAACAAAATGCAGTGAGGCAAGGGAATAAAGTGCACGACCACCATCCACTGAGACCTCAGGACTTCAGGGCAGGCTGGTCCTCCCAAGCCTCACAAGAAACACCTAAGGCCAAGCAAAATCAGCACCAGGCGCTTGAGCAACCACCTCGAATCCTTTCGCTTTGCTCCCACCCTTGCCCTCTGAGGGCTGCTTTGTCTCTCAATTCCATCCCTGTACTGGCATCTTAGAATTCAATCTCTGCTTTGGAACCCCAGGCTTCTACCAAGAAGCAGCTTACCTGCATTACCCAAGTCCTCCTCCTCCTGGCTACTTTGGAGTCACAAATGCTGGAAATCCTCAAAGGCCCCACCCAGTTATCACCCGCCCTAGTCTTGGTCCTCTTGGAGTGGGCATGCAGCATAGGTACACATTCTCTGTTGGATTTATTGATAATTGATAAGATATTCATGTTACTTGATCACCAATCTGACTCCACAGTATCAAGTTAAGCCATACAGTTTTAGCCATCTAATAAACTCGGATTAATCATAGTTGAATATGGATTGCAGTATCATTGACATCATATTTGTCATTGAATGATCTTTATGTCCTAGAGCAGCTATTCATACATACTAGGCAGCAATAAATATGGAATAAATTGATGAATACATATAGCCTGTAGCTGAGAGAAATAAATATTATAAGTATTTTTGCATCAATGATTATTTTCACTAAGTGAGCATTTTTTTCTAATATGAACATTCATTTGTATCTAATTTTTAATTTTAAAACAAAATATCAAAATTCATGAATATGATTTAAAAAAAAAGGTTTCCTCAGCTCTGTCAGGAGTAAAAGCTAAAAAGCCCCATCATTACAAAGCCACATTCATAGACAGTTTTACAAGAAAACATTTGTAAGACCAAGGGGACTACTAGTGGGGAAAAGAGAGAGAAAAGAATTGATTCTAAAGCAACTGACATGGGTTCCATTATCAGGAAAAAGAGTAGGGTCTGGGTCCCTCACACCTCACACTATACAAAAGTAAATCTAGATGGCTTCGAGAGCTAAATGCGAACTAAAAACCTTTACAGCGGCACTATTCACAATAGCAAAGACTTGGAACCAACCCAAATGTCCATCAATGATCGACTGGATTAAGAAAATGTGGCACACATTGAATACTAGGCAGCCATAAAAAAGGATGAGTTCATGTCCTTTGCAGGGACATGAATGAAGCTGGAAACCATCATTCTTAGCAAACTATCACAAGATCAAAAACCAAACACCACATGTTCTGACTCATAAGTGAGAGTTGAACAATGAGGACACATGGACACAGGGAGGGGACCATCACACACCAGGGTCTGTCTGGGGGTGGGGGACTAGGGGAGGGATAGCATTAGGAGAAATACCTAATGTAGGTGATGGGTTGATGGGTGCAGCAAACCACCAGGGCATGTGTCTACCTATGTAACAAAACTGCACGTTCTGCACGTGTAACCCAGAACTTAAAGTATAATCAAAAAAAAATGTAAATAACAAACAAACCCACAAGAAAACTTTAAAACTTCAAGTGGAAAATATAGGGGGCCATTTCATTGATCTGAAGGCAGGGGGTTTATTAAACAAGATGCAAAATAATAACCATAAAGAATAATCAATTTAACTTTACCCAACTTTAAATTATATGTACATAGCTACCATAAAAAAAGACAGTAGACAAGACACAGGCCTGAAAATGAAATTTATAATACATAAAACCAGCAAATGCTTAGCTGTCAGAATGTATGAAGAATTCTTTTAGCAAACTGCTTTTTTCTCAACGTTATTTATACTTATATAAATATTGAAATCTATGAAGCATTAAGAAACGCTGTTACACATATGTATACGTACAGTAAAAGTATACCAAGATGCATGGAAAGAAACACATCAAACTCAGGAAAAGGATGGGGGGAAATGGGGGTAGCCAGGAAGACGGAGCTTCTGACCACCTATATATTTTCTTTCTTTATTAATAATACATAGAGCACATATCACAAAACAATCTTGTGTACAAAAAAAATCTTATATTCATTTCCATACTTTTATTTTATTTTATTTGTAGACAGAGTCTCACTCTGTAGCCCTGGCTGGAGTACAGTGGTACAACCTCAGCTCACTGCAACTTCCAGCTCCCAAGTTCATGTGATCCTCCTGCCTCAGCCTGCCAAGTACCTGAGATTACAGGTACCTGCCATCACACCTGGATAATTTCTGTATTGAGGCGGGGTATTACCATGTTGGCCAGACTGGTCTTGGACTCCTGACCTCAAGTGATCTGCACGTCTTGGCCTCCCAAAGTTCTGGGACTACAGGCATGAGCCACCACAGCCAGCCTATAATATTTTATTTCTTTCATAATAATATAGGCCAGGCGTGGTGGCTCATGCCTGTAATCCCAGGACTTTGGGAGGCAGAGGCGAGTGGGTCATGAGGTCAGGAGTTCAAGACCAGCCTGGCCAATATGGTGAAACTCCGTCTCTACTAAAAATACAAAAATTAGCCAGGCACGGTGGTATGTGCCTGTAGTCCCAGCTACTTAAGAGGCTGAGGCAGAAGAATCGCTTGAACCTGGGTGGCAGAGGTTGCAGTGAGCCGAGATCATGCCACTGCACTCCAGCCTGAGTGACAGAGCAAGACTCTGTCTCAAAATGATAATAATAATAATAATAAAGAGAGCAAATTTTGCAAAACATTTATTAAATCTTATATACAATTGAAATCTTATACTCATTTCCATAGTTCTACCCTTTTTTTTTTTTTTTTTTTTTTTATACAAAGTCTCACTCTGTGGCCCAGGCTGGAGTGCAGCAGCATAAGCTTGGTTCACTGCAATCTCTGCCTCCCAGGTTCAAGCAATCCTCGTGCCCCAGCCTCCCAAGTAGTTGGGATTACATATACGTGCCACCACACCCGGCTAATTTTTGTAGTTTTGGTAGAGACGGGGTTTTACCATGTTGGCCAGGCTGTTCTCAATCTCCTGGCCTCAAGTGATCCTCCCACCTTGGTGTCCCAAAGTGCTGGGATTACAGGCATGAGCCACCATGCCCAGCCAACTTTATGCATATTTTAAATATTGTGTAACCAAAATTTTTATTTAGATTATCATAGTTCAGGCATCACAACTTCAAACAGGCTTTGACAGGTTAGGAAAAGATTAATATCCTGAAATCCAGAATACACAGTCCTAAAATGACTTTGTGGTCACCTTCTCTAGACGTTTCCTCGCCATTTGTTCTTATAAGTACATTTCATTGGCCAGGCACAGTGGCTCATGCCTGTAATCTCAGCACTTTAGGAGGCCAAGGCAGGCAGATCATGAGGTCAGCAGATCGAGACCATCCTGGCCAACATGGAGAAACTCTGTCTCTAATGAAATACAAAAAAATTAGCCAGGCATGGTGGTGTGTGACTGCAATCCCAGCTACTTGGGAGGCTGAGGCAGGGGAATCGCTTGAACCCAGGAGGCGGAGGTTGCAGTGAGCCAAGATTGTGCCACTGCACTCCAGTCTGGTGACAGAGCGAGACTCTGTCTCAAAAAATAAATAAATAAATAAGTATATTGCATTGAAAAATAATTAACTGGATAGAAACAGAGTCCATGTTGGTTCACCTCGCTTGCATGGTACCTAGCATCACCTCATTAACTAATGGTCACTTGAGAACATGCTGCTTCTATTGACAACAAATTAGCAAAACTTCCCAAATATTTTCAATGTTCTCAGTGTTGAAGTCCTTGCATAATAAGGTGTTGCACACTCCCAAAGCCTGTTTTCACAGGTTTACTCAAAGTACTACTTGACACAGTCAAGTTCGCTTGTCATAATTTTAAAGAGAACGGTATTTGAGAAATTTGGCTTAAAAAGTCAAGATAGACTTCCTACATTGTTTCCTTTCTCATACTTCTTTTAAAAGTTTTCATAAATGTAAGACTTCTCTCACGGCCTCTCAGCTATTTCTGTTTGTCTTTTCTGTTTGTTTTATATCTTTGGGAGAAGATATAAAAATGATATCACAAATATCTACGATGACTAAAAACCCTTCTGAAAACAGATTGAGCCTCTGAAAACATTAATAGGAAGTGCCTACATTAAGTAAGTATATATAGGCCAGGCACAGTGGCTCACGCCTGTAATCCCAGCACTTTGGCAGGCAGAGGCAGGTGGATCACCTGAGGTAGGAGTTCAAGACCAGCCTGGCCGACATGGTGAAACCCCGTCCCTATTAAAAATACAAAAATCAGCCGGGCATGATGGCGAGCACCTGTAATCCCAGCTACCTGGGAGGCTGAGGCAGGAGAATCACTTGAACCCAGGGGGCAGAGGTTGCAGTGAGCCAAAATAATGCCACTGCACCTAGGCAAATCCAGCCTAGGCAACAAGATTAAAACCCTGTTTTAAAAAAAAAACATAAATAAGGAAGGATGTGGTAGCTCATGCCTGTAATCCCAGCACTTTGGGAGGCAGATGCAGGTGGATCACGAGGTCAGGAGCTCAAGACTAGCCTGGCCAACATAGTGAAACCCCATCTCTACTAAAAGCACAAAAAATTAGCCAGGCATGGTGGTGGGTGCCTGTAATCCCAGTTACTTGGGAGGCTGAGGCAGGAGAATCGCTTGAGCCCGGGAGGTGGAGGTTGCAGTGAACGGAGATTGTGCCACTGCACTCCAACCTGGGCTACAGAGTGAGACTCCATCTCATAAATAAATAAATAAACAAATAGGTAGATAGATAAATAAATAAAAGTATGTATATATGAATACATGTAGTGTGTATTTTATGAAATGTAATATAGATGTGTGGAATACATACACATAATTTAAAGTACAGTCATACAATGAAGTCATACA